CCCCGCCCACTGTGTCCCCTGCAGCCCCAGAACCGTGACTGGAAGGTAAGACTTTCAGGAACATCAAGGAAGCAAGACTCTGGTTTGGGTCCCAAAAGACTTGTCTCTTCATGTCTGGCCATTTCTGCAGCCCCTGCAGTGTCTGAAAGTGCTCACCATGAGCGGCTGGAACCCACCTCCTGGGAACCGCAAGATGCACGGGGACCTCATGTACCTGTTTGTGATCACTGCTGAGGACCGGCAAGTCAGCATCACCGCATCCACGAGGGGCTTCTACCTGAATCAGTAAGTCTCTGCTAGGCCCCCCATGTGCCGTGGCATGTCCCCATATTTTGGGTCTAAGGACAAATACTTGGGGCACCTGCTCAGTGACCCTTCTCCTTGCAGGTCCACAGCCTACCACTTCAATCCCAAGCCTGCCAGCCCCCGCTTCCTCAGCCATTCCCTAGTAGAACTGCTCAACCAGATCAGCCCAACCTTTAAAAAGAACTTTGCTGTCCTGCAGAAGAAAAGGTAGGCAGCACCTTCACACTGTCATGCCCTGCCCTGTTTCTAGTCACAGGCTGGCCCACACCAGCAACTCCTCCTGAAGGAATGGTGCCCCAATGCCCAAGAGTACCTGGTTCTGGGAGAGGTGCCCATTTGCTTCTGTCTGACTTCAGGGTAACATTTCTGGGCAAGAGATGCCTGAACAGTGGGGGCCTCAGAGCTCACAACTGGGTAATAAGCTTGAAGGGGTGTCCCATTTCCCCATTCCCCCACTTGCTACAGGGTCCAGCGCCATCCGTTCGAGAGGATTGCTACCCCGTTCCAGGTATACAGCTGGACAGCCCCTCAGGCAGAGCATGCCATGGACTGTGTACGTGCTGAGGACGCCTACACCTCAAGGCTGGGCTATGAGGAGCACATTCCTGGACAGGTACTGCCCGCCCCCCCCCCAGCCAGCTGTCCTGGTGCAGAGCTCCTGTGCACCTCCAGGGGATTCCCTCCAATCTCTATGGGCCTGTCCACAGGGAGGTGGAAGAAGGGGATAGTTCCGAGCAGGCCAGGAAACACATGCTGAACCTGCATCTGCCTCCCTGGCCCCTCCACAGACCCGTGACTGGAATGAAGAGCTGCAGACAACAAGGGAGTTGCCCCGCAAGAACCTGCCTGAGCGGCTACTTCGAGAAAGAGCCATATTCAAGGTGACTGCATCCCCCTTTGACTAAAGCACAGCCACAAGCCTACCTGTTAACTGGGCTTATAGGTAAAAGGAAAACTGGAAGCTGGCACTGGCCCTTCTTTGTTCACAACATTGGAGAGGTGGACCTGCAGGGTGTCTCAACCTCCCGCCTCCCAGGAAACCACCTCAGATCTTTTCTATGGCTTCATTCATTGAGACTCTCAAGACCTAGCTTTCTTTGGGTATGGTAAGTTCCAGCCATCTTGATGTTCTCCTTTGAGACATGGTGCTCTCAATGAACCACATGCTCCACCAATGGGGCCCTTCTGGGCACAGCAGCCCATTAGTGTAACATTTCTAGAATTTTGTTATTAGTAGTAGGGTGTGTGTTCAGAGTGTGTGTGAGTATGTAAATGTGAGACTCAGTTCTCCCCTTCCACTGTAGGTCCAGGGATTAAAGTGAGGTAGTTCAGGCTTGGCAGTAGGCACCTTTACCTGCTGAGCCATCTCACTGGCCCTGCATAGTCCCTTTTGTTCCTGAACTGTTTTCTTTTCAAGTAGAAATCTTGATATAAGAGAGAGAGAGAGAGAGAGAGAGAGAGAGAGAGTTGAGTTTGTTTTTTGTTTCTTGAGACAGGGTTTCTCTGTGTAGCTTTGGAGCCTATCCTGGCACTCACTCTGGAGACGGCTGGCCTCAAATTCACAGAGATCCGCCTGCCTCTACCTCCCGAGTGCTGGGATTAAAGGCGTGCGCCACCAATGCCCAGCTTCAAAATGCTTTTAAGAAATGATACTGTTGCCCTTTTGTAAATATGAAGAAATTGAGGCCAGGGTTCCTGACTGCCTTCACCATCCAGGCAAACTGGGGCCAGGATAGGATGTTTCGGGGCCTGACTCACCTTCCCAACCTTGGCTTCCACAGGTGCACAGTGATTTCCCCGCAGCAGCCACAAGGGGTGCCATGGCAGTTATTGATGGCAATGTGATGGCCATCAACCCCAGCGAGGAGACCAAGATGCAGATGTTCATCTGGAACAACATCTTCTTTAGCCTGGGCTTTGATGTCCGGGACCACTACAAAGACTTTGGTGGGGATGTGGCAGCCTATGTGGCGCCCAGCAATGACCTGAATGGTGTGCGCACTTACAATGCTGTAGATGTGGAGGGGCTGTACACACTGGGTACAGTGGTAGTGGATTACCGCGGTTACCGTGTCACAGCTCAGTCCATCATCCCTGGCATCCTGGAGAGGGACCAGGAGCAGAGTGTCATCTATGGCTCCATTGACTTTGGCAAAACAGTGGTGTCGCACCCACGCTATCTGGAGCTTCTAGAGCGCACCAGCCGGCCCCTCAAGATCCTGCGTCACCGAGTGCTTAATGACCGAGACGAGGAGGTGGAGCTCTGCTCCTCAGTGGAGTGTAAGGGCATCATTGGCAATGATGGACGCCACTATATCCTTGACCTGCTCCGCACTTTCCCACCGGACCTCAACTTCCTCCCTGTGCCTGGGGAGGAGCTGCCTGAGGAGTGCACTCGTGCTGGCTTCCCTCGAGCCCATCGACACAAGCTGTGCTGTCTGCGCCAGGAGCTGGTGGATGCCTTTGTGGAGCACAGGTGAGGAGTGGCTGCTGCTGGCCTGATCTGCACTGATAGCATGACTGGCTCGGTTAGGCTGGGGGTCTGTTCTGGGGAAGCTCCTGGAAGAGGGAAACTCTGATCCCTAGAGCTGGGTTGTGTACCTCAGCCTTTGCCTACCTCAGATCTCCAGGTGCAGAAATCAGGGCCTCTGTCATTTGCAAACTAGCAAGGGGCTAAACTAAACTGGCAATCAGTAAAGTAATCCTGGACTCTTCTGTAGCATTTGGAAATCTCCCCAGGTGATTTTGAGTGCAGTGCAGGGCTGGGGAGATGCTCAGTGGGTGAGAGTGCTTGCTGTGTAAACATGGGGGCCTACATGCAAATCCCCAAACCATCAGCATACAAGGTTGT